GCGCGGGGGGTGGGGGGGGGGGGGGGGGGGAAATCAGGGCGACCACCCCGGGCCCCGCACTTTGGGGGGCTCCATGGAGCCAGGCAGAGTGGCCATGCGACTTTGCGCTGCTGCCGCCAGTTTCGAATTGTGCCACTGGCTCTGCTGCCGATGGCGGCAGCTTCTTCACATCCAGGGTTTTGTGGGATTGGGGTAGGGGCAGGGCCCCGCACAAGCTGATTTGCCCTGGGCCCTGCACCCTGCTAGGGTCAGCTCTAACAACAACAAAAACCAGCAAGAAGGACCCAAAAAACCTGGCAATAGTATTTGGTCCAGCTTTTGTGTGGTCATCACATAATAGTGCACATAGTTAGGCAACATGCCAGAGCAGTACCAAATTTTAGAAATGCTTATCCAAAAAAAGACTTGCTTTTCCCAGAAGACAACGCTGAAACCCCTCCTACAGCAATTCAGGGGGAAAACTCTATAGAATCTCAGCCAGTGCTAAGCAGATAAATTAATTACCAACATTGGAAGAGCAGGAGTATCTCCTGGAGATGTATCGGATTCAACTACTAGTGACTTATCTAAATCTAAAGGTGCTGGGGGATCTGACAAAAATCAGAATAGCAAGGAATTGCTCGTGTCTTCCATCTTGGCAGTAGCCAGTTGCAATCAAAAGAAAACGAGAAGCCACCACCAGGCAGCGCAGAAGATGAAATTGGATGCGTTTCTCAAGAAGGAACACTGTCCTTTCACAGTGTTGTGAAATGATAAAAAAAGGACACAACTAAAGGGGAATGTAGAAAAAGGAAGAGATGTGTGAGGGAGAAAACAGAACAACAGTGGAAAAAAGATAAATGCTGAGAAGCACCAAAATAAGTCAGGAAAGAATGTCCCATTAGAGGCATCTTCAGCACCTTGCCACCAAAAGCACACAATTGCCTAATCTCAGCTGTCAGGTAATCATACAAAAAGATTGCTGCAAAATACCTGTTCCACAAGCTACTTCCCAGGCTGAGGAGACAGTCCCTGACTGACACTTCCTCCCAGGCTTCCCGGCACTGGTTCTCCTATAAAACGGTAGCCAGCCCTGAAATTAAATGCATTGAGTTTGTAGCACAGTTCTGGCATCTCGGGTTACTCAAGTACTTGCTTCCCTGCATACCTGGGTTCCAACATGCTGAGCCTTGAAGTGCAGTTGGTGACAGAAAGCAAGGGAGGACCAGGCTGATGATGAACAAAGTGAAACAGACAGTGAAAATGGTCTGCCTGTCTTTGCTACAAGTTCTGCTGCTGAAAGGCTTTTGAGGGGAAGAATAAAAAAAGGGGTATAGACAAGTTGGAAGAACTCTGAACAAAGCGAAGTGAGTTGTACTGATGGACTATATTTCCCACAATCACATTAAATGCGATAAGCTCTCCCATTCTATGCATCTCCCTAGAACAAAATAAATGATGACGAATTCAGGAGATGCTGGGGATGAAGGTGAGTTGCCCACTGTGACCAAAATGTTTGACGTGATGAAAAAAGGAAGATCGACTAGCAGTTTAACTACATCAACTAGAAGTGAAACTAGTAAATAAGAGCCTACACTGAGACTTAAAATAACAGGCTGTTTGTATGTTCTTTAGTTAAGAATGCTAAGGCATATGCATCTTAAGTCATTCCCTTGAGGTGGGAAGGAGAATAACTAGAAATGTTTTCTTTTTCTCAAGGAAGGAGGAAATTACTTTAGAACTGAAGCATAGGTAATACAGCAATAAATACAATAAGCAAATAATGTGAACAATTATATTTAATATTAATCTTTATTATGATGTGGTAGCTTGTAGTAACCATGAAAACTTTTTTTTTTTCTTTACACATATTGGAGTACATGACTGGACCATTTCTAAGATCTTCTATACTCTGTAAATAGTCTGGTACATTGAATGTAAAGATCCTGTCAGAAGAGTATGAATCTGGCCATAATAGACAGATACTCAGAATACTGAAGACTATTGTCTTGGTTTAAAAATCTTACTTTTAACATAGCTATATGTGTATTGAATGCAGAAATTGAAGTTCTTTGGGTTGAAGTGCTTTAGTTTAGGCACCTCAAAACAAGATGACACTATTACTGATTAGCTAAACCATGAATAAAACCCATGTTGTTGTACAGGAAACAGGGACCATGTAGTCTCATCATTTCTAGGAGGACCCTTGTTTAAAATGCTTCATTTTGTGTCCTCTTTAATAAATGACATTATTTTCATAATACTGCTGCATCTTTTTTAACAAGCATGTAGTACAGTGTATAATTTAAATAATTTTCCAGGTAATTTAGTCACGCTGTACAGAAGCTTACATAATTAAAACATCCATTAGTTTCTTCATAAGCAACATTAATTTTACAGTACAAATGATAAATATTATAAAAGTTAATTTTAGTGGAGTTTGTTTGGTGGATGTCCAAAAATCAAATAGACACCTTGTTTCTGGGAAGGCAGAATGAGGAAAAAATGGTTTTTCCAACAAATTTGCCAGAGGACAGGGAACTTCAAGACTCTCAAAAAAGAGAGATTGTTAACACCTGTGAATTGAAGAATAATGAACCATTGACTCTCTCCAGCCTGAAAAGAAAGTTTGCTGATGCTTCTGGGCTGTGGCTTTGGGGGCAGGAATCTAAGCGGAGTGCTTCTGTTCTGGGCAGAAAAATCAGCTTCTCTGCTTGACACACCCCAACTGAGGGGAGGGCAGCTGATTTTTGGAGAAAATACATATAGTATGCAAGAAAATACAGTATGTTAGGGTTTCTTTGGAGATGTTCTCTGCATATGAATTCACTAAACCACACACTGTCCCTAAATCTTGAACATTTTTTATCAGGGTATTGAAGGATCTGAATGGCAATTGGGCGCATAGTCCATTCTTTTGTATCATCAGGGTAAAAGGGGAGGTGACTTCATGGAGAGTTGTATGTGTGGGTACTGCAGGTTACATGGGGCACATGTCCATCAAGATATCTACATCAAAGAACACCAGTGGGTGTAAAGGTGTAAGTACTCGTTCTTTTATAAATTACGGAAATAAAATCTGATGCTGCCCAACCAAAATATTTTGTATTTGAACTCTTGTTTTCCCAATAGACTAGCGGCAGGCAATTATTTTGGGTGGAGGGCCACTTACTGAGTTTTGGTAAGCCATCAAGGGCCACATAACAGGCAGCCAGGGGCAGATAAATATTAATTTTCTAAATTTCTTAGGGGCCCTGTGGGCCGGATAGAATGGCCTGGTGGGTTGCATCTGGCCCGTGGTCCACATTTTGCCCACCCCTGGTTTAGACTGACACATACCTGAATGAGACTTTTAAAGTACTAGTAAATTGTAGCCTTTGAAAATGTAAGTTTTGTCTCTGTTTAAAGAGGCATTTTAAATATTTCTTTTTGAAACTGTAAGTAAAGTAAGAATGCTTCAGATAGCATATGTACTTAGTGATTTTCAAGGAAGCTGAATTACTGCATTGTATATCCATTTGTTTGTCACTTTGACAGATGATCTAATTGGTTTGAAATAAGTGCAGTGTTTCTGAAAACCACGGCTTTTAGTCAGGAGGAGAAATGATTTCTGAAAAAAGGATCTATTACTTGAATGCCAAAGAGATGAAAGAAAAACACAGACTGGAGGAAAATACTAGTTTAATTCAAGTGAAAGTCTGATGAGTAATTTATGGCATTGTTAAAATTGGGATATGTTTGGCCATGAAAATGCAGTATATATTCTTTAGTGCTAACATGTTTGTTGCATTATGGGTAGTAAAATTCAGACTTAATGGGGGAACTCTGAGGTTACAGATTATTCATTTGTTATGTAATCTTTATCTTTCAGGGGAAAAGTTACAATTTAAGGTCTTTTTCAAGTGTGTGCGCGCAAAATGTAGGGTAGTTACATATGTTCTTTATATAAGCTTAAATGAAGTAAATGGATGCTATACAGTTTAAATGGAAAAAATGTTAGGACATGGTATCCATTAGCTTTTATTTAATGGATTTTTTTTATTTTTTTGGTTGCATTTCTGCAGGCAAAGGATGCAAAATTTAGATATGAAAACTGCTGTTTTGTTTAGTGGATTGTAAAATCCTCCCCTAATCTCATGAATACCAGCGACAGACGCTTTGGAATGAATCAAAATGTATATGCTGCATATTATAAAAGGTAGTTTTAGCATTCTAACTTGTCTGTCCTTCAGCATCATCATTAGTCCTCCACTGTTTTTGATTTACACAGAGACTGGCAGAGAAGGAAACTGAATCAATGTCTCCTTATCCTAGTTTTTACTCTAACCATTGTTTCATTTTTTCTTTTATCCCAAGTTCTTTTAAAGGTGTGGCCAGAATTTCTCCTTTGTCCTTTATTATGTGTCCTTGCTAGTGAGACCTTTATCTATAAAAAAAATTCTTTGAATTGGGCTATGGGCCCTGGAAAATCCATTTAATTCTTTTCTTTCATTTGCTACTAGTATTTTGTCAAAGTAGCTGTAAGTAATATGTAGCTTCTGCCTTTGTCTTCATTATTCTATATCTTCCCTGGACCTACAAGGTTCTCTTAAGTCAGGGGTTTTCAACCTTTTTTAATAAGTGTACCTCTGGCAGCCAGACTGGGGGGGCGGGGGTGGGTGCGCAGCGGCAGCATGGGATGGTGGGTGGTGGTGGTGGTGGCTGCTGTGTGAGAGCTTGAGCTTTTCCCCTCCTCCCCCCGCATCCGGCCAGGTAGGCAGCACCTGTGTGGCCCACAGAGGAGTGCCCTGCTCTGGCCCTCCTCCTGGGAGGCGGTGACGCGGGGTGGTGGCGCTCCGTCCCCATCTGCCCGTCCACGCGTACCCCCTAGGGACTTCCCAAGTTCTCCCAGGGGTACATATGTCCCTGGTTGACAACCCTTATCTTAAGTCATATGAGGTCAGAGGCATGTCATCCACTTGAGATCATTCCCTTTACATAAGAGTTGCAGGGAAGATTTGTAGAACTCTTCAGTCTGATTTGCAAAGCATTATTGATTGTATTTGGTAGATCATCAATCAATTTGGCTTGTTTTTGTAATGGGATTGGACAGGTGAAAAGCTATTTCTGACTTTCCTGGGTATTATGTTTTAACCCATTCCACCTCCATAGCAAGTGATTGCTTCTCGTGAAGAGCATGCTGTTCGAGAAGCATCTTATCCTTCCTACTCAAGAAAGGTTCTGCTATCTATTGTAGTAAGTTATGCTTCTTAGGAGATGGCTATCCCCCTAATAATTTACAGTTGTCACAAGTTTTACTGTATGTAGATATCCACTGATGCCCTGGTACTTTTTATTCTCCAGGAAAGGAAATAATTTCTGATTTTTTACCTTGGATGAAAAGCAAGTCTTGTAAAAACTTGTTCCTAGAATGCAGTTAAAATAGGTTCAAAATATTTCAACCTTTTAAAGTGAATGAAGAGGGTGGGAGGTAATTGTAATGGGCAGCTGAAATGATCCATTGTACAATAATGTTTATAAATTACTTTACGCAAATATATAGACATTAGAAAAAGTTAGATGTGCAATTAATTCACTGGTTGTAGCTGGATCTGTTAATGAGAAGACTGTAGGTTTAAGGAAGCTCCATGATGGATTTGCTACAATTAAATTTGATTAAGAGAGTAACTATTATTTAAATTTTAGTGACACAGATCAGCCTCATAACCCCCAAAGTCAATATGGTCTAATAGTCACACTGAGCACAAATTAATTACTTTTTGCTTTTGGACTAAAAACTCCTGGAGAGAGGTAGTTAACCATGTTGGCCTGAAGTCAGGCAGAGCAGCGTGATACCTTATAGACTAAATTTCATAGACTTTAGGGCTGGAAGGGACCTCGTAAGATCATCAGGTCCAGCCTCCTGCCCAAGGGGCAGGAAGTCAGTTAGGGTCAAAGGATCCCAGCAAGATAAACGTCTAAATGTTTCTTGAAGGTTTCTTGCTTGCACCACCTCTTGGGGGAGTTTGTTCTAGGTCTTGGGGGCTCAGACAGTAAAGAAGTTTTTCCTTATATCCAGCCTGAAATGGTCTTGCAGGAGTTTGTGACGGTTGGACCTTGTCATCTCCTGGGATGCTCTGGTGAACAGGTGTTCCCCCAGATCCTGATGCACACCCCTTATGCACTGATATGACAGGGTTTCATGACCTCAGGAAGTTTGAATTTTTCAGACTTGCTGATGTCATGGAACCCTTTCATATCAGTTCCCTGCCCATATCCTGAAGACTGATGTGGAGCCAGGTGACCCGGCCCTATTGTAGAGTGCCAGGTTTCTGCAGAACACAGTTTGAAAACCACAGGACTAAATAACTCAGAGAGGCATAAGCATTCATAAACAATAGTTTACTTTGTCAGACCATTCATAGTATCTAATCAAGTAAGCTGTTGCATATGAAAACTTATTCCTCTCTGAATTAGTCCATAATCACTGTGCCCTGCTTAGAAACTCCCAGTTATGGATTTTGGATACCATGTCATTGGAATCAGTGTGGTTGTTCAGTCACATTTTTCTGCTCTTAAATGTTTCTCTGCCCTGCTTCTGTGCAAGACACACACACAGGGGAAACTGCCTGAACACGTTAGAAACTGTTAACATGCAGTAAGTTACAGGCCGGAAAAGATCTTGGTGACGTTTAATGCTGCTTGTTGCAATAATAGGTTTTTGGAAAATGTACAAGTGAGATGAAACCTATCATTTTATGCAAAAAATACAAAACAGCTGCACCCTCAAAAGTTATGTGAAAATGAGGGTATGTCTACTTTGCAGAACATAGTGCTGCCTAGAGAAACCCATGCGAATTAGTTCGGGAACTGGAAGCAGTATTGCAGCATTATTGTGGTACTCCTGGGCTAATTTACTTTGAAAAGGAAGGTAAGTTACTTTGGGTGGAACTCCCTGCCTACTGGACTGGACTGTTTCTGGTACCCAGTCTATAAGGTGCTGCATAGTGCAGTGTAGACATACCTGCAGATCTTATCTATACTATAGTGGCCACTCAGGCTGGACTTTACCAGACTCAGCGCCTGCTTTGGGATGCATACTGTTTGCAGTGCATTCCCAGATATGGCTGGGGTGGATGCCAGGTGCAGCTCGGCCAGACTGTCCTGCACATGGTGCCCATTCTGGCTGCTGCAGGATCCACATCACACAGAGCACAGCACAGGTCCCAGACTAGGTGGAGCAGCCTCTAGATCAGGTATGGTGGGGGAAGGGAGGGCCTGTGGACCTGATCTGGCCTGCTGACCGGCCCTGGGCCTTGTGCACTGCGGGGCCAGATGAGTTTGGCATCCCTGCTATAGAGCTTCTGCTGCTATGGCTACTTCAACAGATCTCCAAATGCTGGTGTTCCCAAACAGTAGTACACATAAGGGCTGCGCGGAACTTTGGCAGCCGCTTTGTTTTGAAGGTGTTTCGGCCCGTTTTTGTGCCCAAAACACCAAATCCGAAACAAAATGGAAGGCTCTGAAATGAAACCATCCAAAATGTTTCAGAAAATTTCAGAGTTTTGGAGCTGGGCTTGCAGGGAAACAGAAACTAAGGGGGGGGGGGGAGGACTGTTCTGATATTGACATCTGTAGCTGGCCAATGTCTGCAATCTGTCCCTGAGGTCCCTTCCAATCCCAGTGCTCTGGGGGAGGGATGGCAGCCTGCTGTCATCCCGCGCGCAGATCCAGGTGCCTGCACCTCCTAGGAAGAGTCTGGCACAACCCTGCAGCCCTCCTGGGGGGCGCGGACCCCCGGATCTGTGCGCAGGAAGACAGCATGCTGCCGCTGCTAGCTAGCGCCAGCACCTGAGTCTGCTTGGCGCAGCCTGTGCCGAGCGCCAGAAAGAACCCGGTGTGGGCATTGGCCCCAGCTGGCAGTGGCAACCTGCTGTCATCCTGTGTACAGATACAGGGGGCCCGCACCCCCTGGAAGGAGTCTAGCACAGCCCTGCAGCCCTCCCAGGGGATGCAGGCCCTCGGATCTGCGTGCGGTATAACAGCATGCTGCTGGCAAGTAATACAAGTTTTGCTTTGAACAGTTTGAGATACAGTGTCACAGGAATTCCTGCACCTATCTCCTTGAAACTTGGTAGATTTAATGCCCTTAGAAGGGGCTACCATCCCTGCAATTTACATCCAAATCAGGCAAGAAATGACAAAGTTATAGGCGTTTTAGTGATTCCACATGATAGTCTATGGCCAAATCACGGAAACAGCGTAGAAATTCTGAAACAGATTCGGCCGAATCGAAATGGAACAGTGATCCGAAACACTGAAATGAATCGCTGTCCCTCCAAAATGACTGGATCCAAAACCAAATCGAAACATAGCCCTTTTGCACAACCCTAGTACGTATACCCCTGGGAGTACACAAGGCATCTCTGGAGGATACATGGGAGAAATTGTGTAATAGCGGATTTAACTTTCATTATAATTATAGTTGGCATTTAAGGGGTTAAAATATAAAATGTATGCTGATAGGGTATGTAGGCATCTGGTAAATCTGGAAAGGGGAATGCAATAAGACAAAGCTTGGGAACCTTGGCCCTAGTGTAAATGCAGAATATGGCAGTGAAGTTCGTCTGCTTACCATAGCTACACAACCTTCCTGAACAGCATAAGCCAAGCTGACAAAAATGCTCTTCAAACACTCTTCTGGGAGTGTAACTGTGCCCAGAGCAGGGGTTCTGGCAGCATTGCTCTTTTAAGTATGGATGTTGTTTTTCCAGAGAGCTAGCTGATAAAGCAATGCTGGCAATATTTTGTAATACATTAGTGTTGATGTGCATTTCCCTTCTCCCATTGACTGTGGGAGGAAAAAGCTGAACCATGAATTTAGCAGATTAGCGTTCTGTTTCTGTAATAATGAAACTATTTAAATTGCTGCTTTTTTCTTGTTGAAAATAACATATTGAATGATCTAGTACTTCACTAATGTGTTAGATAAATAGATAAGTATATTGCCAGTATTTTTTTCTTTTGCTTCAGTTTGTCACAGTTTTTAAAATTAACAAACTTATAGCTCTTGTTTATATACGTAACAAGTGAGAAATGGCTAGACAATTAGGGCACGTCCACACGTGCAGGCACGTGTGCTTGCAGCAGCTCAAATAGGAGTGGCACAAATTTGAGTCATGGATGTTTCCCTCAGCGCACGTGCCCAGACATGCACTTTGGTGTGGGGCAAGTTGTGCCACTTGGGGCAAAATAATCCTGCCCAGCTCCTCTCGGATCTGCAGCCAGGGGGAGCTAGAGCCTGCGCAATTTACCACAAGCAGCACTGGGTGCCAGGCAGCCAGGGCTGAGCTGCGCTGCCCTGTGCTGTCGTGGGGTGTCTTTGCTAGGAGGGCCCCCAGTGCCCTGATGGGTTGCTGCTGTGAGCAGGGGCTGTGGGCTGTGTGGGGGGGCAGGCGGGGGACCCACCCTTCCCCCACACCCCTACAGCCGCTGCGCCAGTCTCCCCCACCCCCAGTCCCTTACCTTTACTTACCTGGGACAGCTGGAGTCCATGCAGGCAGCACCACTCCAGGCTGCTCCGCACATGGAGGCAGTGTGCTTCAGCAATGGAGTAAGGGGCAGCCATAGAGATGCTCTGGCTGACTACCAGAACATCTCTTTGGAGGACCCAAGCCTCTGGTTGCCTCAGGGTACAGTCCTGGACTGTGTTCTGCCCTGGGTTTTTCCACCTGTGTTTTATTTTGATACCTCGATAACTGCTTTGAGATGTGGCAAGAGGCATGTGCAGACTCGTCTGGACACGCCTGTAGTGTCTATGAGAGAGATCAGGACAGAAATAGTGGTGCAGTGTAGGTCAGGGCTGATGGTTAAGTGGTGATGTTATGTTGGGTAAGTGCATAGTGACAGGGTTTTGCTTTTTATCTTTTAGTTTTACATAGCTTTGGAATTGCATCCTGCAGAAAAGTGCTACGTTGAAATCGGGATGTAAACAACTTTTCTGTTAAGCCCAACAGAAAACAAGTCCAATTTACCCATTCTAAAGCCTCTTCTGAGAGAATGAAATGGCTCTTTGTGAAAACAAAGGGTGGAGTAAGGAATAATTATCTTGTTTCAGAATAGGATTCGAGTAAATTAAATTAAAACCACTTTAATTTTAGGTAAGGGTCTTCCATATGGGTTTAATTTTATATAAACTTACAGTCAATTAAAATTTTTAGTTGATTTGGATTACCTTTACCAAGTGTGCTTGTGTAGACAAGACAGGTTCACTGGAAGAACAATGTTTCTAATATGTTCACATGAAGCACTTAAGAACATTCAGTGCAGAGAACAAGAATGCACAAATTAATTCTTCAAGAATGTTTTTTGACACTAATCTCTCTCTTCAGTGTATAACTTATGTATTTTATTGGCAGGCGGAGAGTAAGACAATGGCAGGCAACAATCAGCTTTGCATTAGACGTTGGACTACCAAGAATGTAGCCAAATGGCTGAGGGAAGAAGGCTTCTGCGAGTATGTGGACATCTTGTGCAATAGGCACAGATTGGATGGAATTACATTATTAACTCTGACTGAATATGATTTACGATCACCTCCTCTGGAAATCAAAGTCTTAGGGGATATCAAAAGGCTCATGTTATCTATACGCAAATTGCAAAAACAGCATTTTGATGTTTTAGAAGAGTTGGGTTACAGTAGTGACAGTCACATAGGAACAATTTCTCCTACTGTTGGCTCCCTTCAGGGTACGGATTGGTTCTGTAATGGTGAAGTACCACGGGATTGTGATGAACCAGTTACTGACTTAAATGGCGATCAGTATCAATACACAAATGGAAAAAGCAAACAGCAAACCCGGAGACTGGACCCAGAATACTGGAAGACTATTTTAAGTTGTGTTTATGTTTTCATAGTGTTTGGCTTTACATCATTTGTCATGGTTATAGTACATGAACGAGTACCTGACATGCAAACATATCCACCACTACCAGACATATTTCTAGACAGGTAAGTTTTTTTTAAACTACTTGATGGGATTAAAACAAATGCTTACATGTGTGTAGAATAACAGATTTTCAGTATTTTTTCCATTTTATAAGGTACAATGTTTCTGAATGTAAAATGGCCTGTTCTCTAGCTTGTAATGTGCTGCAGTGCCCGAGAAGTTTAAAATAAAGTTAGGAAAAGAAATTGAATGGTTGATGAGTACTGCTGTCACTACTACACAATTGATATTTTAAAAGGAGGCTGTAGGGATCAGTTCTGTGATCTCAGATAACCATTTATTTATAAAGTATATCGTACAGGATTTGACTTATCTTTCTCAGGCTGCAAATTAAATTGAATAGTAACTTTCTTCTTGTAGGTGACACAAGCAGTATGTCCAAGCAAAGACAAAGTAGTAGCAGAAAGAACTTCCATTAACTTGAGGTCCAGAATCTCTTTCCACCCCTTACGCTGATTTATAGGTCATGTTTTAAAGAACTAAACCTACTGCGCTGCTCTTTCCTATGGTGCTGCACTTCCCCTTTTGCTCCATGCCAGGAAATTGAATTGAATTCTTGCTAGTGTTTCACAAATGAGGACTGCAAATTGTCACAGAGTCCCGCCAAGGAGGCACATGCTGTCCTGGCCTTGTTCAAGACTGTCATTGCCTTGTTTGGTCTCAGAGAGTAGCCCTGAACTCAGCCCAGGTATGGCTTTTAGAGTAGGGGTGGAAGTCCTTGCTCCTTCACACTCGGAGGCCCTAGCCTTCATTCCTCGCCCTCTAGTTTTCCACAGCCCTGACTCAAGCCAGCATCAAGTTCTACACCTGAGAGAGAGATTTGACCTCTTCTTGGGGAGAACAAGTGCACTCAAAGTTCCAAGCAGCAAATGTATAGCTCTGCCTCAATAAAGCCATTTATAGGGAGAAAGGCCACCCAGCTGTAGATTCTGTGACCCTCCCTCCATCCAAAGGCCAAGCAGTTCCTGTCTTTTATTATAATTTACATGGTCAGAGCACCTTCAAAGACTGCTCTACTTCTGAGCTCCAGAGCTGTTGTACTGTTTCCTGTGTTACTTCAGACTCTCCCCACTGGGAACTGACACCTTCCTTGTCCAGCAGACTCTCTTATTATCATGCTTATGTCTCTCTCCCTTGAACACTGCTTGGGTATTACCTGCAATCTTCACCTTTTGTCAACAAAACTAACCAAGTCTCTGTAGAAAGATGTGTGTTCTCTCTCTAACCTGTGCTTTCCTCAGGTACTAGCTTCCTGGGTAAACTGGACTTCAGGAGGGCTGATTTTAATGAGTTAAGGAGATTAGTCCAGGAGGCACTGAGGTACCGGAGGGTAGGGGAGTTGGGAGTCCAAGATGAGTGGTCGTTCCTTAAGGAGATGATCCTCTGAGCCCAAAGGGTGACAGTTCCAATGCAAATCAAAGGCAGCAAGAGTGCTCAAAAGCCCCCATGGCTCACCAAAGGCATTCAATATCTGAAAGCTAAAAAGGAGGCGTACACCCAATGGAAGGGAGGGGCCATCACCAAGGAGGATTATACCTCCGTTGCTTGAGACTGTAGGGGGGCTGTTAGGAAGGCTAGGCAGAGACGGAACTAGGACTAGTGACCAGGATCAAAGATAACAAGAAGTCCTTTTTTAAATACATAGGGAGTAAAAAGAAGGCACCGGGTAACGTGGGGCCCCTGCAGGACACACTTGGCAATCTGGTGGTTGCACCAGACAATAAAGTTGACCTCTTTAACAAATTCTTTGCCTCCCACCAGGATTCAGGACGGACTCAGGTAAGGCACAGCCAGGCCAGAGAGGTCCTGGGGTCAGAGAGGACTTAGTTGGGGAACTTCTGGTGGCGCTGGATGTGTTCAAATCAGCAGGTCCAGATGCTCTCCACCCCAGGGAGAATTGGCAGAGGTCATTGTGGGATTCATGGCACAGCTTTACGAGCACTTGTGGTGCTCTGGCCAGGTGCCAGAGGACTGGAAAAGGGCCAATGTGGTCCCCATTTTCAAAAAAGAGAGGAAGGAGGACCCAGGAAACTATAGGCCCATTAGTCTTACCTCAGTTTTGGGGAAGCTCTTTTAGAAAATTATCCAGGAGCACATCTGCGAGGGACCAGCAGGGGAGAGTATGCTTAGGGGCAACCAACATGGGTTCATTAGAGGCAGGTCCTGTCAGACCAACCCGACTGCCTTCTACGACCAGGTCACAAAATCCTTGGATGCAGGTGTTGCAGTGGATATAGTTTTTCTGGACTTCAGGGGGCCTTTGTCATGGTCTCTCACCCCATTCTCATTAAAAAATTAGGTGACTGGCATCGATACCTACACAGTCAGATGGGTCGCAAGTTGGCTGGAGGGCCACACCCAGAGAGTGGTGGTGGACGAGTCATTTTTGACCTGGAGGGATGTGGGCAGTGGTGCCCCCCAGGACTCAGTCCTTGGGCCTGCACGGTTCAACATCTTCATCAGTGACTTGGAGAAGGGGGTGAAAAGCACCTTGTTCAAATTCACAGATGACACTAAGATGTGGGGAGAAGTGGGCACGATAGAAGGGAAGAACAAGCTACAACTAGAGCTGGACAAGTTACAGGGGTGGACAGATGAGAATAGGATGGGATTCAATACTGACAAGTGCAAGGTACTGCACCTAGGGAGGAAGAACCAGCAGCATACCTATAGGCTGGGGAGCTCCCTTCTCATCAGCACAGAGGCAGAAAAGGATCTTGGAGTCACTTGATTCCAAGATAAACATGGGCCATCAATGTGAGGATGCAGTCAGTAAGGCTAACCACACCTTGTCATGCATCCACACGTGCATCATGAGCAGGTCCAAGGAGGTGATCCTTCCCCTCTATGCGACATTGATCAGGCCGCAGTTGGAGTACTGTGTCCAGTTCTGGGCGCCGCACTTCAGGAGGGATGTGGACAGCATTGAGAGGGTCCAGAGGAAGGCCACTCGCATGGTCAGGGGGGAGCAGGGCAGACCCTACGAGGAGAGGCTATGGGACCTGAACCTGTTCAGCCTCTACAAGAGAAGGCTGAGAGGGGATATGGTGGCCGTCTGTAAACTTACAATGGGGGATCAGCGGGGAATGGGAGAATCCCTGTTCCCTGAGCACCACCACAAGTAACTAGGAATAACAGCCACAAGTTGACTGAGAGTAGATTCAGGCTAGACATCAGGAAGCACTTCTTCACAGTCAGGGTGGCCAGGGTCTGGAACCAACTTCCAAGGGAAGTGGTGCTAGACTGGGGGTCTTCAAAAGGAGGCTAGATAATTACCTTGCCGGGGTTGTTTGACCCCAGCATTCTTTTCTGCCTATAGCAGGGGGTCAGACTTGATTATCTGTTCAGGTCCCTTCCAGCCATACCAACCAACCAACCAACCAACCAACCAATTATGATCCCTGAGAGAGAGGATTTGTGTTGTTTTCACTGCATAGATATGCATCATTGACCTATTCTGATTTGCTTTGTGGGAAGAGCCATATACCCCAAGTGGTGAAATATAGTATGGCAATAGGGCCATACCTTGAAATAGGCCATATCTTGAACTACCAATAAATGGTATCCAGAAATCTGGTGGGCATCAACTTTACTTTCTCACTTCCTGAATTTGACCTGTGGGTGGCCAAGGTAAATTTGATTTCTAGGATTGGTGGCTATCTGCTCAATCTATATGACAAGCACTTTGGGTCCACTGGTGCAAAAATTGCTATGACGGTATTGCAATGATTACGGTCTTGCAATTTCCTCTTTGACCAAGAGGTATCTATGCTGCATACCACGATATCTCTGCATCTAATAAATGCCTGTGATTAAGCTGGCATACATGAGCAACCCCATGCTTGTCTTAAACATGGATACAGTGGTGATATCCCACTTGATTGCGATAGGAAGATTGTTTATCTCTCGGTATTCTGTATCGCCCTTGGATTTCATGGGTGGCTGACCTAGACTAGATACATACTGGTTGTTGTACTTCAATATATGAAATAGTTCACGAACAGTCTTAGTAAGCAAGCCATTAATTTCAGAGAAGTGACACTGATATTGTAATCATGTTCTAGTTTCTCCCTATTAGCTCATCTTTTAGAGATTGTTTAAAGGTTCTCTAAACTGAATTGGAAGATCAGTTATTCTTCTAGTTACTCCCTGTATATGTAGTTAAAGTGACCTTAATATCACTCCATTCATGTCACAAGAAATGAAACACTTTTTTTCCTGTACCAGCAAAAAAATTCAGCTTAATTTACATGGTTGATTAGAGGCTTTTCCAGGTAATCTACACGTACTGTGTTATAATCATGTTCTGTAGTACCAATAAAACACTCCCTGTTGACAATGGGTTTCAGTAGCATAGCCTTTACTCCTGTAAACATTCATGAGCAGTCTGGGTGAAGTCATTAGGACTAATCGTGTGAAAGAGGGTTGCAAAATCTGACATTTTTAGATATTACTCAGCAAGTGGTGACAATACATTCCAGATGGGAGGGGGAAAGGAGGATAAGAGTAAGTGACAATACTGAATACTGGATTGTGTTCCTAGAACAAGAACCATAGTCACAGAATTGGGAGAATGTACAGGGCAGTGAATGCTAGGGGCGAGTAGCAGCAAAACAATGCAAAGGGATTACAACAGTCAATGTCTGAGCAACTATGTTTTGTTTTTCACTGTTTTTGTAGCAAAGGGGACAGACAGTTCCACTGAGAGCTTTAGCAATTTCTGGTCTGAGGAAATTTGAGAGTGCAAATTACTGCAGAAATCATTACAGTGGGAGAAGTTAAGAAATGTTTTGACCAACAAGGCTATTAAGGCTCACATGCAATGATTCTTTAGTTGAAATCTAATTTAAAAAATAAGCTCTTAGGAAAATGCAAAGAGAAAGAAGCTGGGGAATGACTGCCCTAAATGCTGTTGATCCTCTTTTAAGAGGAGGATAGGCGAGAGGGGCAGCAAAGCAGAAGCAGTGACGATGGGTTGAGGATATGAGGGACTGTATCTTAAAGGAGTATGTTGATAAGGCATAGAGGGAATTGGTTGTAGCTGTGTTGGTCTAATGACATAGGCAGACCAGGTTCTTTGGGTAAATTGATATCTTTTATTAGACCAACTGAATAGTTGGAAAAATTGTTCTTTACAAGCTTACAGGCATAAGCACCCTTCTTCAGGCATAAGGAGAGTCTCAACATGAAGAGTTAGATGAAAGAAAACTAAAATCTAGCATGAAGATGATTTTCATTCTCTGGAATTTTTCAGTGTTATAACTTTTGCCAGCTTCAGAAGGAAAGCAAGGGTTTAGTAATCCAAGAATTAGTATTTCAAACATGCTAACATGGTGAGTGCATTCTGACACAAATGTTGAGGCCATAGATTCACCCAGCTACTCCTGCACTGAGTCTTATAACTTGTTTGACAAAGACCTGTCTTCCAGAAACATTTTGAATATTGGAGACTTAAAAGAAATGGAGAATTCATAGTTTTGGTAATTTGTTCAACAGGTACTGAGAGTGCAGCTTTCATGCTGCAGTTGGAGCTGTATGTGTTCAACGTATTTTGAAAAATAGACTTGATATTAGGTACCTAATCAGTGGTATCAGCTTTGAGCATGCAAGCTTTTGTTATTTAGGTTGTTTTTGTTTTTTCTTTAGTGTTCCTAGGATACCATGGGCCTTTGCCATGACTGAAGTGTGTGGCGTGATTCTCTGCTATATCTGGCTTCTGGTTCTTCTTCTTCACAAACACAGGTACAGAAACTCAAATAACCTTTATGACAAATATCTGGTGACCTAACTCAGAGAGAGACCTGACTAGAATCCAGATAACAACTGTGTTAGACTTGTTTTCAACTTAATTCTGTTTCCCTATTGAGATGGTCCATGATGAGCAGCTCCTGCCAGCCCTCTTTCCTTACCTCTGAGGTAGGCTTTCCCCTGTAGTACTCTGAGGGTAGTCCTTTTTGTCTTTCTATCTGACTGAAAGTATTGCAACAGTCTACCTAGAAAAGCTGTGGAATCTCCATCCCTGGAAATTTTTAAGAGTAGGTTGGGGAGAGATTTGGCTGGGGATGGTTTTTGTCAAGGATGATCCTGGCTTGAGAAGGGACTGGATGAAATGACCTTGTGAAGTCCCTTTCAGCCCTACTTTCCTATGCTCCTAAAATTTCTGCTTCCATCTTATTCAGTGTGGATTGAATTTGGCCCCATCATAACCTGTCTTCTATTCGCCCAGGATCAACCATTTTTTAATAACTAGCCTCTTATAAGTCTTGGACATAGATAGCTAAGTAGTGCCCAGAACGCTGGCCTGGCAGTTGAATGACAGATTTGGGCATGGCTGGCTCTACCTTCTGAGAGAGGATTGTAAGCACTTTTCCAATTCCATAGTCCCTGTGTTTGCCCTTGGCATGGGAGCCTCTCATTCATTGAGTTCTTACAGCAAGCGCTTGTAAGAAGAAAGCGGGCTGCTGAAGAATTTTTACTTCATCTTCCTTGCTTTATTTTCTCTATAGTCCAGGGCGTTTCCCTGCAATGTTGTTTTCAGGAGCTTCAAAAGTTTCCAGGGAGTGTCTATCGGTTGTCTGGCTGACAGTAGACTTGCCCCTCCCATTTAATTTTGACTGAGCCCAGACATCACAATTGCCTAATCTGCAGTGGGTCTGTTAGCCAACCTCAAAATGAAGACAAAAATGTACCAGCTCAAGCATGACATGGACTTACCCTTGCTTATTGCAGTGTATGAAAAACTAGTGCCGTTTTAAATATCTAAATTTATGTTGTTTAGACAGGCAAGAAAAATATTGCTTACTTTGAATAAGGTATGAATACATTGGTAATGTCGTTTAGCTAGATTATTTGAGATGTTCTTATTCTTGCTTTTAGAAAAGCTAAAGGTAAATAAACCTGTGCTTGAATGGAACAAAAATCTATGACTAATTTGTTCCTTGGACGTTTTATGGTTGAAGGATATCATCCATTGATTTGTAATTAGTGTTCAAAAGGAACTCATTCTTGTAATGAGGGTCTACATCAAGTAGTTCCACCGAGTGAAAAATAGCTGAGTGTATTTGTTGTCAAAGGGAAAATCTTAAGTGCATAGCAAGCATGAGTCACTTTTTTTTTTTTTTACTTCTGGCGCATATTTAACTTTGATTTAGGGTATATTTAACACGGAAAGTAAATACAGTTCAATAATAACATTGCATGAAAATTTTTGGAAAAATAAAGTACTTCATGGGAAGAGTCTGCAAAAACTCTTTAAAAAAACCTTTTCTCCTTATTTTGCAACATTATTTGTATTCTTCTCTTTTTCTTTCCTATTTTTTCCCCCAGGTCTATACTTCTGCGAAGATTATGCAGCCTGATGGGGACAGTGTTTTTGTTACGCTGCATCACAATGTTTGTTACCTCACTCTCTGTGCCAGGCCAGCATCTTCAGTGTTCTGGCAAGGTAAAACACTGTTCTTTAATCTTCTGGAAGGATTTGATTTAAACTCAGATTAAAACTAGGCAAACAAAGACAAGAGTGGTCTTTTTAGAGTATACTTTCTAAGCATGCATAAAAGTCTCTAATACAGGGATATCAAATTCACCCTGCACCCTAGGCCAGATCCAGTTGATGGGGGGGTCCTTGCAGACAGTGGCTGGGGAGCGCGGGTGAGGGTTTACACATCCATTGCTTGCTTGTGTCCCGCTGGCAGCATACATCTCTAGTGGGACTTTGCCCAGGATTTTGCCAGCAGGCCCTACCCCAGCTTGCCTCAGCCCCTCTAAAAGCCCTGTTGGCCATAAGTTTGACACCCTTCTCTGTTAGGTTGAGATCTCATAAGTATCATGGAGTCAGTGGTGTAACAAATGCTCAAAGACCAGGACTTCAGTCCCAGGCACCCAGAGGGCATAAGAACAGCAGCCACTGCCACCCAAGTTGCAGACTCTGGTTGTTACATCTCTGCATGAAGTTGTACATTACTTAGGGCAGTGGTTCTCAGTCTTTATTGTACCAGGACCCATTTGTAAGCATTGATGGCCAGTCCTGACCCAGTAAATAGTTCAAGTAGAAAACAGCCTCCTGGCCATGCCAGCATCACTCACTCCCAACTTGCTGCCCCAGACCCCTAGTGTGGGGGGGAGGTGGGGAGGGGGACACATGTTTCCTCAGATTTGTGCACCCATAGCAGGCATAGAGCTATAGCCTGGCTGGACTGGTATGGGTAAGAGCCGCCTCCGCGGCCCAGCAGGTGGGACTCAGCATGGGAGGGCAGAGCAGGGTGGCGAGACTCTCTGCTGCTGGAACCCCCTCACCAGCCATACTGCCAGCAGTGTGAGAAATAATGGATGGTGTGAGGGAGGGCCATGCTGTCCTCACCTTTACCTGCCGCCAGCCGATCATGTGCTGGGCTGTGGCTCTACCCAGAGAGGAGGTGGGGTGGTGGGTGGTGTCACCTGTACCCCCGTTTTCCTGACATGTCATCTGTGCCCCTGCTCATAGACTTACCTGCAGGCAGCTGTGGGAGCTGCTCACCACACTGCTTGGCTGCCATGTGCATGTGTGCGTGCACATGCATGTGGTGCCCTTACCTGATTGCCAGGGATCTGAGTTTCCCGTTTGCCACAAAAAATGTGGATTTTTTTCTTTTTAAGGGGAAAAATGGGGGAAATGATGGGTTTCCCTTTGCAGGTTGGCAGAGTTACCCCATAGTGAGGTACAGAGGGATAGAGGAAGTTCGCCAGGGCTGGGGCTGGGGGTGTTTCCCCATTAGAATGGTGTGTGGGGCCTGGGGCTTGGTGTCTGGGTGGGAGTGGATGTAGACTGGCAGCTGCTGGCTCAGGGCTCCCAACTCTGTTACCCTCCCCACAGGGCCGCCGCGGCCCAGCAGGTGGGACCCGACTTGGCAGGGCAGAATGGGATGGGGCGGGTAGGCTCAGTGCTGCTGCTGGGAGCCCCGCACCGTCATGGTGAGGCACCCCCTGCATACCTGGCAGCAGTGGGGGTGACAGTGGCATGAGGCTACTGGCAACAGCACCAAGCCTCCCTGTTCTGTTCTGCTCTGCCCTGCTGCACCAGGTCTTACCCACTGGGCTGCAGAGGCCCTTCGGGGGAGGGAAGCAAGGTGGGGAACCCCGAGTCTGCATCTGCTCCCCACTCTGCCCCCTAGGGACTCCGTGCTTTGCTTTGCTGTGCTGCAGCAGCCACTGCCTTCCATGTGTGGCAGCCATGGCTTTGGCAGAGCTGGGGGGGGGAGGGGGGGGGGGGGGCCAGGCCCCGTGGAGCCAAGTCCCTGGCCTCATAACCCTGGGCTCGGGGGGCGGTGGGCTGTGGGTGGGGAGTGAGGGGCAGTAGCTTGGGCAGGGCGCTGGCATATCAGGGCTGATCAGTGCCACAAAACAGTGTCTTGTGGGGAGGGGGCAGTCACAGCTGGACCTCACATCCTGATGAGTGAAGGGGGCAGGGGGAGCTCTGTTTTCTTCCATGATACCCCCCCCTCCCCCCCCAAGTCAAACACCAACACTTACAGGTATTTAGAATTTATTTTATTATAGTGACTGAGGCACTGGTAGGCTTCCAAATTGCTTTAAAACTGTAAATCTATCAATAAAACATTGTGTTCAACTGACACCTGTACAAAAAGTGGCATTTAATTTGAATTGTGGAAAAAACACAGATTTTGGTGGTTTTAATCGGAGAATTTCCGGGGGGGTTTATCAGAGAATTTGCAATTTTTAAACAGAAAACCAGGATCCCTTTTGATTGTCCTCTTCCTGCTCCCCCAACGCAGCTCCAAGCAGCCCCTGCAGGCTGGAACTCTGCCATCCTGTAAGGGGCAATCTGGGGGTTCCCATGTTTTCCTCCTTTAAAGGAGGATCCATTTTTTAATATTTGTTTGTGGCCCTTTCATATATTCTTACAACCCACTTTTGCATCATGTCCCACAGGTTAAGAAACGCTGATTTTGTTAAACACTTGCATACTGTGTTCATTTAGGGGCTTTCAAAATGCTGTGTTGTAAACCATAGAAAATTAGTTAGGGGAGCATGCATTGAAGTGACTGAAGACAAGAATTTGAGAGAAAAGAGTGAAAATCATGACACCAAGAAGTATTTGAAAGATGGAAAGGCTGAGGCAAAACAAGTATTCTGTAGGGCCTAGTACAGGGTTGGGTAATTATTTTGGGCAGAGGGCAGCTTACTGAGTTTTGGCAAGCCATCGAGGGCCGCATGACAGGCAGCCAGGGGCAGATAAATATATATTTTCTAAATTTTTTAGGGGCCCTGTGGGCCACATCTGGCCCACAGGCTGCATTTTGTCCACCCCGGCCTAGCACTACAAGTAAAGGAGAAGCGATGAAAAGTATTTCGGCAGATTATCAGGAGAATTTTCTTGACTACCTCATTTAGCTGGGGAATAAATTCTCATGAGAAATTGTAGAAGCCCCATTGTTCATGTACTGTTTTGGGTTAAAATGTACTTTCTTTACATTCTAGGTTCTATCAGAGATACTTTTGTGTTTGTGGTTAGTAATGTAACTAGTTATGTAAAATAAGACAATTTTGACCACTTATATTTCAAAAAGTAAAAAGTACCTACCATGAGATAGTAAATGCAATGCTAGTTTATTAAATGTTCTACCTCTGTAGTGCTAGACAATTGACTTACCTGTTAAATGGTAGAGTTATACTAAAAATATTCTTCTTGTAGACTTTTAAATACTGATATGCCATTTTCATTTTAGTTGTATGGAAACGTGTGGGCAAAACTTCAGCGAGCATTTGCAATTTGGAGCGGGTTTGGAATGACACTAACTGGAGTACATACGTGTGGGGATTATATGTTCAGTGGCCATACTGTTGTTCTGACTATGCTGAACTTCTTTGTCACAGAATGTAAGTACACGGTGCCAGTGCTTTAAACATCCTAGTTTCATCCTACAGTTTGAAACTGTAATAGCAATGGTAGTTAAAGCTGAAGGAGGCATACTCCCTTAATATGTTATACTCCACCTGTTTGGGCTGAAAGCTTTTATAAGTGTTAACCTGGAGATAGAAGTTGTTTACAAAAAGGGAAGTCCCTGAGCAGTTGGACCTAATGTGCCACCTGAGTGCCAGAAAGACTATTGTAAAACATATTTTGGAGATTTTATTTAATTTTTTTTTCTTTACAAGAACAACTAAAATCCTTAACAAGTTTACAATATAATCATTTATCCTTCACCCTTACCACACAAATGGAGCAGAGAGTAACTTGGAAACTAGAGAGTAGAGGCATATTGAGAAAGCAGATACATTTTCTATAGCTATTAGCGCTATACGAAATTTCGCTGGTAGTTTCCTTTCAACTCATTTTAAGCTCGCAACAGCAAAATCGAAATGAAACAGAGAGCTTTAAAACAGCCTTGAAACAAAGGGAGGCAAGTCAAAATGTTTCAAAATTTTCGAAATATTTTGAGTTTCGAAGGTCAAGCTGGGCTTGCCTGCAGGGAAACAGAAACTAAAGTAAGGAGAGGAAGGGGAAATTGTGGGGGAAGGACTGCTCTCATTACTGACTGTGTAGCTGGCCAGTGACTGTCATCCTTCCCTGAGGTCTCTTTCAATCCCAGTGCTCTGGGAGAGGGATGGAAAAACTGTGGAAAAGGCAGCATTGTTTGAACTGCCCTGCTTTCTGCCTTGGTGTCAGTTGAGTGAGCACACTCGCGCCACACACCACAAAATTTGCCTGTCAGCAACAAGAGGTGCAGAGCCCCAGAACCCAGACTCCCCTTGCACCTATTTTCTTGACAGCTGGCAGGCTTTGTGGCCACAGCAGGGCCTAGCAGGCCTGCAGTTTTCACCCCCTGTGTCCCAAGACAGACGGAGTCCCACAAGCACTCATGTTACGAGTTTTGCCTGTCAGCAGCCAGAGGTGCAAGGCCCCAGAACCCAGACTTCCCCTGTACCTATCTCCTTGAAAGCTGCCAGGCTTTGTCATCTCAGCAGGGCCTAGCAGGCCTGCAGTTTTCACCCCCTGTGTCCCAAGACAGACGGAGTCCCACAAGCACTCATGTTACGAGTTTTGCCTGTCAGCAGCCAGAGGTGCAAGGCCCCAGAACCCAGACTTCCCCTGTACCTATCTCCTTGAAACTTGGCAGGCATTGTTGCCTCAACAGGGGCTAGCAAGCCTGGAGTTTTGACTGTGGCTTAACACACACACAACATGAGGTTTTTGCTTTCAAGACTCTGAGGTGCAGTTTCCCTGAAACCCCTGCACCTATCTCCTTGAAATCTGGCAAGTTTCATGCCCTCAGAAGGGGCTACAATTTTTGCAAGTTTCATCCAAATCAGATGAGGAATGACAAAGTTATAGGCTGTTTTGAGCTTCCCCATTATAGCCTATGGGCAAAACAACGAAACTGTTTCAACAAAACGAAACGGAACAGCAGTTTCGAATCTAAACAAAATTTGAAACGAAACACTGTTCCGTCAAAACGCAAGTCGAAACGGAATGGTGCTGTTTCGCACAGCCCTAATAGCTATGCTATTACTTTTTGTATACAATTTGGAGTTCTGTTCAGTGTTACCAAAAAGACTAGAGTCAGTTTATGCTTAGGACTTCTGTTGCAAGCTTAGATGTGGAATTAAGGTATAGTTACAGTTCCCTTAATAATCACTACCCAGGTCAGAAAAGAGGCAAGAGACCAATCTATAGCCTGACTTAATTTTATCTGATCCCAAAAGCACAAGAGCAAACGCATATTCTAATACTGACAACAACATAATGTAGATTCTCACCTACACCATTATTAGGGAAGACTCAGGAGGGCAAGACTTGCAGCAGGTCATCTTGATCTTCAACTCTTTCTCTCCAATCTATACCCTGTATTTTCTAAATTTAAATTTATTTAAATTTCTTTGGTTCAGTGAAACTTTTGGAATAAAACTGAACTGGTTATTTATGGAGCTGGCCTTTTGCTGTGTTTAATTTGATTTGGTTTAGCTGGACATACTGTGTTCTTTCCTGATCAAGCTAATTTTTACATCGGCAAAGGCTCACTTTGCGGTTACTCAAACAGGCTATTCTACTTTCCTAGATTATGGTTTATTTATATGCTGAGCATGTCAGTCTGCTGCGACCTTAAGTACACACTACGTAATTTAGGCTTGTACTAGGTCCAGTCTGCACTTGTCATTGTGGTGTTTGTTATTGACCACATATGCAGCCTACTGCAGAACAATACCTGTTGGCATATATTTACTGTACTGTACTGAAAAATATTTTATGTATGTGAAGAATTTACATTTAAAGTAGCACTGTTAAAAGTAGCACAACTGATAGTCAAAAGATTTGCTATTGCTGGATTCTAATGATGAAGTTATGTCGAAGAGAGAGTCCTATTTCTATGGAAAAAGCTACAACTGCAATGTGACAGGTTTTGAGAGGAGACTGTTTATATCTGTTAATATGAAAAAGAATCTTTATATCCAAAAGCCAGCAGCAGTATTTTTCATCCTAAGATGGAGTGTTCTTCATTAGAGCAGATGTATAAGCCAGGAAGACAAGACTGTTCACTTGAAATAAACCACAAGTTTCAATATGCTGTGGAAAACAAAGTTAATTTTGGGAGGTATGATCCGTTAAGAAGAAATAACACTTGGTAGTATTGCTACTGGAGGATGTTTTCACAGCAGTGGAAAGGGCATAATAACTTTAGTCTTTTATTCTGCCTTTGAAGAATCGAGTTATGATGACACTGCCTTGTGCTGTTAGAATCTTTTTCGCCAGCTCACTTTTTCCCATATTAAATCCTTGAATTTACATAGAATATGTACACTAATTAGGATTGACATATGTAAAGTGTCCAATGAGCATCAAAAATACGAAATAAACAACTATTTTGGAATATCAGTAACTTGGTCGGTGGAAGGAGCCTAGAACATGCTGTTTGTTCAGTGGAGAACAAAGGTGTGGACAGGGATTAAATTGCAGTACAGGAAATTTGCACTGCCACAAAAACATTCCAAGAAAGGGCGGACACAAGTATTCCAACCCCTTGGCTGCAGAGCTACCAAGCTGCCTCAGGAGTCCGCTCTCCAGCCAGGGGGGATAGTGGGCTTCTCGTTGGCTCTACCTGCTCCAGATCATTGAAAGCCTACTGTCTTCTTCCCTGCCATGCCTGGTAGTGCTGCTTCCAGATATCCAGCTCTTGTAGTGGCAGGGGAAAATCCCTAGCCCAAACCTTAACCGTTTTCCCTTGCCAAACCATTCTACTGAAAAGCAGAGCAGTCGGGTGGAGGACTTATTAAGTTGAAGAAATGTCTGCTGCCCTTTTGAACACAACTGGGAAGGCTTGTCACTGTTTGAACAGTGCCAGAGGGTCCTGGTGCTGTTCAAAGTGTGGGAAGATGTGATGCTGCATGAACAGTCCTAGGGAGATATGGGTTTGAGCAAGGGGTGGAGGGAAGTACGTGTACTGTTGTGTGAATAGCTGAGACTCTCTTAGTCTTTTGTCAGGCAGCGGTGGGATTCAGCACCACAACTCAAACAGTTCCAGTGCCGTTCAAGCATACTGGCAGCAGGGCTCCCTGACAGCTTGTTGCCTGAGTAGGTCCTCAGGGAGCCAGAGCTCTATCTTCCCCTTGGAGCAGGGGAGGAAGAACAGAGTACTGTGAAATACTGCAGGTCCCAGGGAGCCTGAGATAAGCATACAGGTGTTACCGGTGGTGCTTGAAAACTCTGGAAGAGTTGCTAGTTAAAACAGCTAACAATTTTTGTAGAATGGCTGTTTTTATTCTCCAAAAAACCCTTGAACGCCTGCACACTAGCTATTTTGTGCTGAGAAAAGGGCATATTTCTCAGCACAGACACAATGCCTGTCTGTGGCCTGAGTCGTAATGTTTTAAAGCATGCATTACTAGCTGCTGCTCACTCAGAGGTTTTGGTAGTGGGTACAATAGAACATCGTTTCTCTGACATGCTTGGATAAATGATGACAGGAATAATATGTGATATAAGATTTATTTTGGTAGATATATGTTCCAAAGCTCCCCTCATCAAATGGCTGTAAATTCTTCTAGTTAGTCATTTGACATCATGCTTTGGGTTTATTTTGGGGTTTTTCATTTTTTCTGTGAATAGAGCAATAACACCCACTGAAATTAGTAGGTGACAAATTGAAAACTAATGAGAGAAAGTACTCTTTTATGCAACATGTAGTTTACTTGGTTAATTGATTGCCACAAAGTGGTAGAGGCAGATGGCATAGCCAGGTTTAAAAAGAGAGTGGATGAGTTCATGGATGATGGATCATAATGGTTGGAGGCTATTGAACTATGATGCTAATGACTAGGATCTCATAGGGATAGTGGAGACCTGGTAGGACTCCACCTATGACTGGACCACAGGTATGGGTAGCTATACCTTGTACAGCAGAGATCATGTTGAAAGAAAGGGCGGGGGTGTAGCTCTCTGTGAAGGATCAGTACACTTCCCTACAAGTGGAGATTGGTACCCAAGGAGGGCAACTTGAGACCCTCTGACCAATCTCATTTCCTTCTATGACCAGGTGACACATCACCTGAACAAAGGAGGAAGAGGCTGATATCATATATTTGGACTTTAAAAAAGCCTTTGACCTGGTGTCCCATGATGCCCTCATGGCAAAATTGGGGAACTGCAGCTTTGACAACCCTATGGTCCAATGGCTGGGGAACTGACGCCGAGGTTGGACCCAGAGAGTGGTAGTTGATGGAACCGAATCAACATGGCACATAGTGACCAGTGGTGTCCCCCAAGGCTCCGTTCTCGGCCCCATACTCTTCAATGTCTTTATAAATGATCTGGACTCTGGTGTTGGAACGGACTGGCTAAGTTCACTGGCGACACCAAACTATGGGGAACAGTGTCCACACTTGAGGGTAGGCTGGTGATCTAGACTGACCTTGACAGGCTCGCAAGGTGGGAAGATGAAAACTTGATGGCATTCAATATAGAGAAATGCAAGGTGCTTCACCTCGGGAGAAAAAATCCGCATCATGCTTATAGGCTCAGCAGGGCTATGCTTGCTAGCACCACGACTGAAAGAGACTTCAGGGTCATGATTGACCACAAGATGAACATGAGCCACCAGTGTGATACTGTAGCTAGCAAAGCAAACAAAACTCTGGCTTGCATTTACTGATGCATCTCAAGCAAGACCCAGGAAGTCATCCTCCCACTGTACTTGACCTTGGTGAGGCTGCAGCTGGAGTACTGCATCCAATTCTGGACCCCGCAATTCAGAAAGGATGTAGAGAAGCTTGAGAGAGTCCAGAGGAAGCCATGCACATAATCAGAGGGCAAGAGAGCAGGCTTTATGAAGAGAGGCTGAGAGCCATGGGACTCTTCAGTCTGGAAAACCGTAGGCTCAGGGATGTCTGTTCACCAGGGGACCCCAAGGAAAGATAAGGTCCAACAGTCGCAGACTCCTGGAAGACCATTTTAGGCTGGACATAAGAAAAAACGTGTTTACTGTCAGAGTCCCCAAGGCCTAGAATAGACTCTTCCCCACCCCCCCCCCCGGGGGGGGGAACCACCCCCCCCCCCCCCCCCAAGAGACATTTGGATGCCTATCTTGCTGGGATCCTTTGACCCTAGCTGACTTCTTGCCCCTTGGGCAGGTGGCTGGACCCGATGATCTTGCGAGGTCCCTTCCAGCCCTGCTGTCTATTTAAATCTAGTAACATCATGGTTGGAAATAATCCCTCTGGCATCTCTAAACCAATAATGGTGGATGCTAGGGAGGGTATTGAATAGGAGATAGATCACTGTAAGATATCAATTTTAGTGCTCTCCCTCTATAACATCCACTCCTACCAGTCAGAGACAGGATGTTGGGCTAGATGGACTCAGTATGGCACGTCTTATGTTCTTAACACAACATTAGCATTTGCCTTCTTGCTGCTTAACATTTTCTTCTAAATAAAGGGTAGTTAGGCAGTGGATCTACCAATACATTTCTTAGGTATGCACAAACATTTTAGTCTCAGTAAAGGGGACAGAAGAGCATGTATTACTTATTGCACTCACTGTTAGATACGAATTAGTATTAGCAATACAAGTTAGCTGACCTGCTCTAATTCTGACCCAGGGTTAAAGCCAAAGCAGTTCTTCTGCAGTTGTATTGCTACAGAATAATGTAGGGGTAACAGTTGTAGTTTTAACAGCTTCTATCAGTATCCTTTGATCTGTCTATACAGGTAGGCTAAAAATAGGTCCCGGCCAATAGAGCGAATCCGCTGTGCCAGGATGTCCCCCAAAATAGTTGATCTGCTTCATTGAGCAAAACGCACTGTTTTTTGTCCCGCAAGATTAACTGACAGGGACAACAGGCAGCGTGTTCTCCTTGGGTTTGAGGGGCCCAGTCCTGTGCTTTTTGGGAATTCCTGTCCAGGCTTGGGCCTATGAACGTCATGTGCCTCCTGAGGCTTGAGGGGCATGCCAACCACCTGCAGGCAGTGTTGGCTGCAGCCGTGGTGGGTGGTGTGACGGCAGCTAGCAGGCATCCATGGAGGTGTCTGCGGCGGACGGTTGTGGTGAGCGCTGTCCAGCGATTGGCAACCACCCGCAGACGCCATCAGCAGCATCAGCGGTGGCCAGCAGTGATCGGCAACTGCCCACTGACGCTGCCGGCAGCGAGGGGGGGCGGCGCTGGCAGCATCAGCAGTGGGCAGTCTCAGGGGGTGTACTGCCAATCTCAAGGGTGGATGTGGACCCCCTACACATCACCAGTGTTTGGGCCCCTAAAGCACTGGGAGCACCTCTCGGACATTCCTTGCTGACAGAAATACACCCCTGGGAACCTCTAACAAGCGTCTCAGAAAGTAGGAAGCTTAAGAGGTGTGCCCCCAGGATCTCCAGAGCACATCTCAGTAAGTGGAGAAAAAGGTGGATTTTCCTGCTTAAGAGACGTGCCTTCAGGATCTGGGGTACATCTCAATAAACATGGAAAATTGGACAGGAACTTGAGGGGCCCAGTCCTGTACAAGAATTCCTAGGGTGTGCAGAATTGTGCCCCTGTAGCACCTGCCCAGGGCAGCAGAAGACTATGGGAAGCTCTGGGCCCCCTGCACTTTCATGCCATAAAGTAAGCAAACATTCACTGCTAAGTAGCAGCATAAAATTATACCACTTTCATCACAGCTATAAATTTTAGGCCTGTGTGTCATGACAAGGAGTATTTTTACCATGGCACAAAGGCAACATCTGTTTCTTCCTTTAGAGTATTAACCCAGTACTCAAGTGAATCTTTTACTACGATACGAAGCCTTTGATTGTTTTTCCACTGTATTTGACAGTGTCCTTAATTATCGATCGTTTGATCCTTCAAATACATGCACAAATACCTTTAAGACATGAATATTATGCCACAGTAGACTTAAGTTATACATAATTGACCATGTTAAACGAAACTGATTTAGTTATCTGAATAATTTGCATCCTGTAAAGGAGTTTAAAATATGATACCATGTTCTCTTTTCCCTTTTGTTTCCCAGGGCAGGGTGGCACTTTAGAGACCAATGAATGTGCTTTTGGCTTTCAACAAGTATAAAGTATGGTCTGCCATCTTTTACAGTGCACATCTAAATTGTTTGATTTTTTTTTTTTTAGTTAAGATTGCAGGTAATGAAGTTTAAATCTTGATGCTCCTATATTTGAATGTCTTTGAATGCAAATCAGAGTGTTCCAATAGATTTAAAAAGGCAACATAAAAAAAGTCCATGTATAACTGAACAGTATACCTAACCGTAACTGTAAATGAATGTACTTGAAGACAGCAATATTTTGTGATTGAGTGGTTTTTATGCATTAAATAGCAAATGAAGATAATTAATTTGAGTCAGAAGCATAAATTAATAACTTTAAAACCAACTTAATGAATACTTGCTTCTAGACAAGCCTGCGATGCCCATCTCTTAAGATGGCTTCAACTGGATAAGGTGTTGTTCATGATGACCATAAGGTACTCTTCAGTATATCTGCTATCTTAAAAAGATGCTATCCTTACATTTGTGCTGTAGGTTGTTCTTCAGTGGTGGGTAAACTGATTAACATTCAGAATTCTTTATTTGTGCACTGCTGTTGAATTCGATGGATATGAGTAGTGCCTATTAGATCAAGTTGGTAGTTTCCTAGTCCTTTGGATGCTCTGTAAATGTCATGTTTGATGGGTGTGGGTTTGGTAAATTGTCAGGAAACTTGTGAAACATAGATGAATCCTGTAACGGGGATACCCTGTTCTTTCCTAGATACACCAAGAAGCTGGAACTTCTTGCATACTTTATCCTGGGTCCTGAATCTGTTTGGAATCTTCTTCATTTTGGCTGCACATGAACATTACTCTATAGATGTCTTCATTGCCTTCTACATCACCACAAGACTCTTTTTGTACTACCACACATTGGCTAATACCAGAGCATATCATCAGAGTAGGAGAGCGAGGATTTGGTTCCCCATGTTTTCCTTTTTTGAATGCAATGTTAATGGCACAGTTCCAAATGAGTATTGCTGGCCCTTTTCAAAACCTGCCATAATGAAAAGGCTAATCAGATAAAGACCATCTCCCTGATGTAGCCCAAATATGCACAAAGTATTCATGCTTACATGACTACAGAACCGACTGGAAAAATAGGAAAATAACAACTTTTTTTTTTTTTATCCCTGAGGTCTCCTAATATCTTGCTGCTTAGCTTCTCAGTTACAGAATGAGCTTCCCATAATCAACAAGTTTCTTTTAGTAGAAAGCAAGATTAGGGTAAATAGCAGCTGCCAGTTAATAATTAGGTGTCTGAAGCAGAAGTCCTAGTTACAGTCTTTAGAAAGGTTCTACACAAATGTTTTAGGTAAAGTAAAACTTACACTTCTAATGTATGCTTGTATTGAATTTAGTTTGTTGCTTGGAGGTCCAAATATTTTCTGGTACCTGGAATGTCTGCCTGTACAGATAATAGCAAGTAGTAATTTGTTTGCCAGTGACTTGCTTTTAAAAATATTAATCATAAATATAATATTTAAATTGAACTGTTTACACTTATACAATGAGTTTCTGAAGAGTATTGTGTCATATTGTGGAAAATAGTAGAGCTCCTTACTAAAAAGGGGTCTCAAAGCTTAAATAAGAGATCTGAAAAATAGTGAACACCGTGTGATTTATATACAGGATGCCAAAAAATGAAACCATCTGCCTTTTGAATATGCACTGATGATTTGTGGACAGGGCTTTTGTGAACTGTTTATTCTGTTATCCTATCATGTGGAGGTTTCCTTTTCACTCCTGCATGAGTGGGTAAAAACTAAGACTGATTTGTTGAAAATAAAGTTGACTTAATGTTAGTGCCACAGAATAACACTGTTCTGTGTGGTCCAAACATTTAATTCCCCAGGCTTGCACATGCTTTATGAGCAATTATTTAACCACTGGAAGGATAAAACAGTTAAGCTTCAAGTATTTTAATGTCCCATAAATGGATGGGAATGTGCATGTAGTGAGTGATTCAGGAAGAGCTCAATAGTGAATTTTAGAAATAGTGCTAACATTGATCCTCCTGTTTTGAATTCTTATCCTAATCCATTTGATATCAGCAGAATGTTGAATATCTTTGGATAAAGGTTTTTGACAAATGGGGTATATATATAGTAAATGATTTATATGAGTCTTATTTCTGACAGTTTTGAAATTAGATTGGTTCTTAAGCTGCTTGTTTATTACATTAAGAATTAGTTAAAGTAGCATAAGTGATTTACCTTCCATAATATGGATCACTTTTTGTGAATGAGCCCTGTCTGTGCTTATGAAGGGAGTAGTAAATAGAACTGGGGCTTGAAGTACTGTATGCAAGACGGTTCTGACTTTAGTTATTTAAATTCAGTGTTAAGCTTATGCTTAATATAAAGTGGTAGTTTTTAATTTGAGAGTTGCAAACTGCAACAAATATTTGTGATTTGCACTCGAATCTCCTATGTCAATTTCAAGTTCAGCGAGTGTGTGAGAAGAGGTAATGAGCCAGTCTTGCAGAGTTTCTGTGAAATTTTGCCAGTCTGCCACAAGTTATTGAATCTCAGCTTAAAGTGACTAAAGCGTGCTTGCCAGTCAGGTGTAGGATTCTGTAAGATTTAGTAACATATTTGAAGCTTTGTAATCTGCTTTGATCTCCCTACACTTGCATCTCTCTAACAATCCAACTTTGAACTTGGAACTAAAAGTGTCGATTACCTAGATCATATTTTCTAACCTTACTAATATCTAAAAAAATTTGCAACTTAATTTAGTTCCTTGGAGGAATTTCAGATATTAATGCGTCTGTACCAGAAGTATTAGAGATACATATTAGAAGTTCTAATAACCTGCACACACAGGTATTTATGACATTCCATTTTTTTTAACAGATTGCAGATTTTATATCACCCAAAACCATGCCAGATGCTCTTGGCATCCAAACTGCAGAAGTACACTGACGCTTCACACAAAAAAAAAAAAAAATCCAATGGTGAATCATTTAAGGCCAAAAATGTTAATTTGTAGCCTTTGCCTTCTTAATAGGAGAGGCAATCTGAACATTACTTTCTGGTATTTCCTGTCCCTTTCCTTGTGTTTCCCCTCATCTCTTCCCCCCCCCCCCCCCCCAAAAAAAAAAGACAACAAAAGAAAACCCCTTTTTCTTTATCACACTTACATTTACTCTCTTTTTACTGGGTTGTTGTTTTGAACAAGAAATAACTCAAATGTGTTTTCTAGGTTAGGCAGATTTGTATTTGTATTTTGCTATATTCAGAAAACTAGTCAAATTAGCAAACTCGGGATTGCTGACTGAGTTAACTATGCCTGAATTATAGAATTATTTGAGAATCTTTTATTTTGTTGTATCTAGTAAAGCAAAAGTTTTTGGTTTTTTTTAAATAATTTATCAACCCAACAAAGGCAGTTTATGTAAGGTAAAATACTACTACTTTTCATTTTTTGAAGCTCAAATATTTTGACTTCTGCCTGTAACGCATTAAAAGCAGTAGTGGTGTATCTTTTTGAGTATTTTTAGAAGATAATGTGATATTTGTCTACACAATTGTTTTGCCTATTAATGCATTGATTCTCTTACTGCTAAGAATCTGTGTACAGTATTTGTAGTATGCAGAAATTGGTTTCCTGAGAGCTGGGAAGTTGTTGAATCAGTTGTTTGGAGATGAACCTGTGACAGTTAGCCACACCTGCCAATAAACACAAAGTGAATTGTGAAGATTTCAAAGAAAAATCTCACATGTTCTTACTCACAGTTTCCTAAATAACTTGGATTGGCATGTAAAGGAATACTGTCAGCTTCATTTTTGTTTAAGTTCAATTTTAAAAACAAAAAGGAGGTACAAAATTTATCTTTAAATTGAGGTACATAATTTGTTTTAGAAGTTTCACAGTGTTTTATTAAGGGCCTTTTCTGTTCATCAGCAGACATTAACAAGCATACTTCTTAATATTGTTACTAGAGCGTGGATGAGCTAAGAGGGACTGTTAAATATGATTGGGTTTGCCTTTCCTTAAGACATCTGTTGGCTGTTTTTGATATCAGCTTTACCTCTGGTGTTTCCACCAAATCACTTCTTGCTCAGCCTGGGAAGAAGCCTACCTCCGAGTTCCTCATTAGAAGTAGTGCGTGTTTGAGCTATCATTAACTTGGTGCTTTACACAGCAAATGAGTAACAAAACCATGAGTAAAAATTACTCTCAAAAACACAAATTAAACTGATCCAAGTAAGGACTTGAGGCTTTGAGAGATCTGTGATTGAATACTTTAGACAAATGTATAAAATTGGGATTACCTTATTTGTATATGTATATTAAAATGACAGGTGAAGGAAAAATAGTGTATTTGGGCAAGGCTGAATAGTCTTCAAGGCTTCTTTATTTAAAATTTCATTCTTTGTTTCTTCCCCCCCACAACCTTCTCCTCCTAACAGGTTTTGAAAACAAGGGGTAATTATGATGCTCAGAGATGAAGGGTTTTTTTAAGCAGGCCCAATTAGACTTTCAAACTAATTTAGAATGCTGACAGACGTAGGAAAACCCTCTCTCTAGTCTATACATCACCACTGCTTCAGCCGTTTTGAGGAGTCCTCCGGCAAAAATAGATCAAGAGCTGATAATTCTGGCTTTTCTGAGAGAAAAAGTGGCAAGGTTTTTGCAGGTCCACAGTTTTTGAACTTTCAGGACTAATTTTAAAAAGTCCTGCAAGATCATTACTTTGATACAACAAAGACTGTGCTTAACTGGGAGCAAAATAAAGCATGGCTACACTGTAAGTTTCCTGCCTGAGGTACATAGTGCATGAAGAGCAGGGAGACATTTAGAGCATACCACACTCTGATATTGGTATATTCCTGGTGTGGATGTATCCAAGTAATCCTATAATAACTGCTGGATTCAGGCTAGTGTACCCTGTACTTGATAGATTCAAGCCTTCAGTCCATAAATAGGACAAAATGTTTCCTTTCAAGTTGTATTTCAGATCTCCATGTACCATATAGAAAAATATATTTTAGTAGTAGTTTCCAGCATGATTGCATGTCAGAGTAAAGACCATTCCATAATAATTGCATCAAATGCAGGTTTGAGTATCCCAACTCTTGGTGCTCAGATGTTACACAAGATTTGGTTTTGCAAGCGACAGAACCCACCAACTTGACTCTCTTGTACATGTGCAGATTTATATTCCAAAGACCATTCTCGCAATGTTTTCTTATTTAGCTGACTTTATGTATTTCACCTGGTGCCAACACAAATGAGGACATTTTGGGGGTGGAATTCACAGTGTAGTGTTGAACAAAAAAACTTTGTGAAACTGTTTGTTAAAGTCCTCATAACTTTTTCTGATTGAACAGTAGCAGGAAATACATATTCATTAGTGGTATACATGTTGTTTACTAATTATTTCTCTTGCACTGATCCTTAGGCTTAAGTTCACATTGCTATTTAAGCACCTACACACCTTTGCAGTTGAACCTTAGGCATGTGAAGTTTTACATTTGTAAGGGAGTGTCTGTATAACAAGATTAATTTAGCTGTTTGATATTTTTTTGGACGTCCACTATCACATTTATAGTAACAGTAATAGATGATGAGCTGTCCTTCCTACAGGCGTTTTTGTTTGAGAAGGGAGGAAGTGTTTCTTTTAGAATATGGTGAAAAACAGACGAGGTTAGTTTCCTTGAATTAGCATTCATTTAAAGAAAGTTGTCTTGATAATCATAAAGGCAACACGGACCTTGTAGGTGTGGCAGTTTTGTTGGCAGACAGCCCATGAGCTCTGAGTTGCCTTGCGTTCACAAAGCTACTTGGATCAAGGGCTAATTAACAGTCCCCTAATAATCTACACTTTGGTTATTTCTGTTATCCATTGAGATTGTCCTCCTGATTTTTTTACACTAATTGCTTACTGAAACAGTGTTTATGGGCAAAACTTGAAGTATGAAATGAACCTACAAAAATATTTTTCACCGTAAACGTCAGTTAAGACTAAAGTTACGGGACTACGTTAAACCTCATTTCAGTCTCCATATTCCAACTCTTGATGATGCTTATAAGTCAAGACTTGAGAATGTTGCAGTGAGTGAAGTGTTGTACATAATTCAAGTTTACATATACATTTTCAAAATACACTTGTGATAGTTGTGTAAGAGTTTAGAACAAGCTGTTGATTGTAGAGCATATTGTCTTAACCTGTTAGCCAGTGATGAAGTAGCAGTTTCATTTTTACAATGTACTATAGTTTTGCTGTCCTCATTTTTTTCAATGGAATTACAAACTACATTAATGTGTACAGCATGTAGTCTGGCAAGGATACAAAAACAGGACTTTGACTTTTATGGAAAAAAGTCTTTTCCTACTAAATACATTTTAAAGTGTTTTTTGTTCCTGTCCCTGTCGTTCCCTTCTCCCCTCCCCCACTTCCCACAAGAAAAGAGTATTAACACTTCAAAAGTTCCTGTGGCAGTCAGGTTTGAAGCATAGTAATGTAAATAAATATTGTTTTGACTTTTAAAACTAAACCCAGATTTAATTAATATATTGTTTTATATCTTTGTTGTATTAAAGCAAATATTTAAAAGAATTAAAAATAAAATTGTTGAAAGATGGGCTGGAGGCTTTTTTTTTTTTTTTTGTAATTTAAATTGATGGTCAAATATCTTGTCAAGAATTGATCAGAATTAGTTTAGGTTTTAAGGTGTCTCCTGCAACAGACACCACGTTCTTTTGGGGTTTCTGCAATATTCTATTACAAGGACTTCGGAGATGGACTCAAGCTTCTTTCTAAATCAGGTGTGGGCAGAATACAGCCCGTGGGCCAGATCCAGCTTGCCAAGGCATTTTGTCTGGCCCACAGCAGGTCCCTTGGCCTTGCTTAGCCCCAGGCACAGGGTGCAGCCTGTGCAAGGTCCCACCACCCTCGGGCACCCACTGAGGCTGGGGCAGCATGGCAGCTAGAGTGGACAGACTCAGTTTCCCAGCAGCCCCTATGGTAGCTTCTTCCAACTGCCACTGCTGGACCAACCCTGGCCTGTCTGCCTTGCACCCGCTGCTGGGATGGGGCTGTGGGCAGGTGGGGACCTGTGTCCAGGAGTGTGACAGGCAGGCAGGCAGGCAGACTGGTGACTAGTATCAGGTTCGTGGGGCAGTGACAACGCAGGACTGGGACACAAGGCAAGCTGCGCTCCACTGCCCGCACATGCCTGTGATGGGCACGGGTTCTATGGGCAGAGGTGTGCAGGGAGCAGATCACAGCTCTGCCTCTGACCCCAGGCCCAACGTCACAGTCCTATGATCCTGATTCCAATCCTGGCCCTGGCCTCATTTGTCCCACTCCTGGATGTTGCTCTCCACTCATCTGCGATCCCATCCCAGCCACCTGGCTGCATGTGGGGGCCACTTAGGGAGTTTTGGTGAGCTGTGGTGGGGGAGGGGGAAGGGATGCTGACCCATTGTGCGACAACTCACTAAAACTCCTTAAGTAGCCCTCCAGCCAAAATAATTGCGCACCCTTGCTCTAAATAGTTACCTATACTGAAAGCCTGTTATTCTGGTTCTGAAAAAGAAAGGTTTCATTCTAATTAATTCCATCTGAGGAAACAGCTACCACACTGTCCCTGTGGGAATTATTTCCAATTGCTTCTCTTACAAGAAGAACTAGGTGTTAAAAGGAAGCATCTCCTGACACTGCTGCAACAGTGGTTGTATATAATCCCTCACTTCCCAGTGGGACAGATGTGATTCCAAAGATTCGTTTGATTTAAAAAATATATATACAATATAAAAAAAGAAATGGAAATGTTGAATACACAGATGTACAACTAGGTGCTGTTTTTCAGTTTCTGTAGATGAAGCCTTGATGGACTAGAACTGTAGAAGACTGAGTAGGACAGTCCTGCCATGAGAGAATCTACACAATGTGTGATCATGTCACATTCGTCTCTCTTACTTCATAGACATTGCCTGCTCTGGCCAATTGGTCTAAGCCAGGGGCAGGCAATTGTTTCGGGCCGAGGGCCGCTTACCAAATTGTGGCAAACTGTCAAGGACCGCATGGGTAGCCCTGCCCCTTGACAGGTGCCCTGCTCCCTGGTTGTGGTCTTGTGACCAGAAGTCCCACTCCCTAACCCCTGACCTTTGCCACCAGAAGTCTTTCCCCTTGCCCCCAGAAGTACTCTTTTCAGCAAGGGGTTTTGCCATCTCAGAACCAGAAAAATACCAAATTATATTCTAAAAAGTGATCATCTACAACATTCATTAATTTGATTTAAAAAAATATTTTTGTCCTGGTTTACATGTGTTTGTGTAGTGTACACAGAGGTGACTGCACAATACCTTAAAATGAAGTCTTGCTTTTGTATGTTGTGGGGGGTGGGTACAGGTTTGTGGGGGCTGTGGGTGTGTGGGTATGTGGGGTGTGGGTGGCTATGGGGGGAGGGTGACTGGGGTTTGTGTACAGCAGTGCAAGGGGAGGCATAGGTGCATGTGTATGGGGGGGTCTGCGTGTGGGACCCACCCTATAAACACACATACATATACACTCTGCCCTTGTGCCTGCGTGCGTGTGTGCATGCATGCATGTGCACACACGCACGCGCACACCCTGCCCCCGTGCCTGCGCGCACGCACACATGCACACTGCCCCTGTGCTTGCATGTGCGAGCGCACCCCCCCCCCCACACACACACACGCACACACCCTACCAGTGTAGTCCCCTCCGGGGATGCAGTGCTGGAGCAGGTAGGGGCAGGAAAGCAGGGAACTAGCTGGGGATGGGCTGCTCAAGCCTGCGGAGGGCTCCCTCTGGGTCCTACTGCCCCTGGCTCCAGCCAGCTTTGACGGGGAGCCAGGGCAAATATTTATTAATTCAATAAATTTTTTAGGGTCTCCACAGGCCGGATATAATGGCCTGGTAGGCAGAAGTGGCCCGCGGGCCGTATTTTGCCTGCCCCTAGTCTAAGCCAACTATTCTCAGAATCCTTTGTAGTCAACTTGCTTGAGCCTGGAAGCCATCCTACATACTAATTATGTAATATAGGAAAGGCAACTTCGATTATTCCCCTTTGTGCATATGCGTGATGGTAGGATGCAGGCATTTAATTAAAGGCTATTTTTTCCACAAGATGCTTCTTATTCACTTAGTGGGAAGTTATGTTTCTTTATCTTACCATAATTTGATCTACAGTAAAGACCAATTATTTCCCTATGGGTGTTTCTACAGTGGTGTCATCAGAGCATTCCATTGATTCACATATTTTAATTCTCCCTGAGAACTACTTAAATTTGGTGGGGTTGGGGAATAAGGGATGTTCACAAAAGAACATAACTAAGGGTAAGACTTTACGTGCATAGTTTCTGATGCTGGGGAGAAGTAACATTAGAAAACCAATAACAGAGACAGTGCATGCTATACAGTTTTAACATTTCCCATGAAATCAGACAAAGATCCTCCATTTAGCAGATATTTCGCACTTGGATTTAGAGAGCTAGTACTTTCATATCTACATCCTAATATTGTTTTATTGAGTTTGTTGGTATGGTTATGGTCTTTCTGATACAGACACCCAACCACCCCAAACAGGAATGAAACTACCAAGTCTGTATCTCTTACCAGTTATCAAATGCTAAATGCTTTTAATCACCAGGACTAGATGTGAGCTACAACTACTCAATAGAAAGTTTTTCTTAACCTCTGCTTATGTAAAATGTTCACGGGCCAATCATATATTTTTGTATTGTAAAAGGAGAGGCACCTCAAATTTATGTTACTAGAGAGAGAATTTTACAAGCTTTTACAGGATGTTGCCTACTACAGGATATATTATAGGATATAAAAATCCCTCAACTAATCTGAAATGCATTATTTTGCCCCCAGAATAAACTCATTAAAAAATTATCTTAAAAATATCAAAAGAGTAATAAAGTGTTGCGATGCTTTGCTAGATACCTTGTTCAATGGAATGGGAGCTGACCTTTCAAGCCCAGTTGTTAGTAAATGTAAACAAAATTTACATTTGTGTTGGGAACCAAAGTTAGATGTTAGAGCAGGGACTGGCAAAATACTGCCCACAGGCTGGAGACAGCTTTTTGGCATTTTCTGAGGTATTAGACCCCTTTTGAAGAGCCTTGAATCAGGCACTCAAAATCATGAGTCATGTCTGAAAATATAGCCTCTCCCTGCTATATTTAGTATTTCACCCTGACATTTAAGTTTGTGTTTTTGTTTTTTTTTACTACTACTGCAAGCAAGTTGGCTGGGTAATACAGTTGATAGACTGAGGTTTGATATTCCCCAGGCCTCTTCCTTATTGATTAATTTCTGGTGACTAAGCACAAAAGATTCTGAATGTACCTAAAATTTCTCTTAGTCATTTTAATGTCTGTTTCCAGACAGAGTACAGTAAGTCTCACGTGATCAGTTTTTTAGACTTTCAAAGATTCTTATATATTTGCATAGTCATTTTATGAGTCAACTTCCCTAGAGTGGATTATAGTTATTTCTATGTACCTGCTTGGATTGTTTTATTCTTTTACCTAGCTGAGTCTTCCCTGCAGTACTGAATATTGTGATTTGTATATTTAGCTGTTGTATCCCAGGTTACTGATTAGCTCTTTAAATCAAGACCCTGAGACATGATAGTGAAGTGCATAACTATGTAAATATCCACAGAGCAGTTACAAGGAGCTGCATTTCAGTATACTATTGGGGACAGAGATACAGGAATGATGGACCAGACCATATCCTCTATCCATAATATAACTCTATTGAAATAATAATGGTTATGTTGATTTATACTCCTGCCTGCCCCCTTGGCTTTCACAGTGCTTTGTCTGACAACATATTTCATCCAGCAGTGAAATCTGCCCATTTCAGTGGTGAAACATTGTAGCTTTTTATCAGTGCACAGTAACACAATAATTCTGGACAGGAAATATAGTATTCCTATTGAAACTGTAGACTGAGTACAGGTTGGGTCTGCACATTTAAAATACGTACAGCTTTCTGGACTAAATCAGCCTACTGTTCCAACTGTGCCAGAATTGTTGAAGAACACAAGTTCTCCGAATCTTGGCTTAGGATCTCTTGAGAAGGCTGCCACCTCCTGGAACACAGGGGCTCATGCAAGGGTGCAGTGTTTTGTTCAGTTCTCTGCAAGTGCTTATGCTACTTACAGTAAAGGTACATGTTACACTTAGACCAGTGGTGCTCAATCTTTTGGTCCCTTGGGCCAAATTGGACCTCACGCCCCACAATTTAGCCTGCACATCTAGATCTAGACCGTGCCTCCCCTGTCTGGTCCCATGTGCTAGGATTGGGGCCCCAGGAACCCTCACCACTTCCACCCAGTCCTGCATGTTGGGATCAGGGCCCCAGGACTCTGGGCTGCATCTATCAACCTCAGAGATCATGGGGTGGCATGCTGCTTCTGCATGTGGGGCCATCTCTGTCATCCTCCATGTGCTGGGAGCAGGTCCTGTGTGTTGGCACTAGATCTAGTATGCAGGGCAACAGCCTGTGGGGTTCCCCATGGGCCAGATTCCAAAGCCCTTGGGGCCAGATCTGACCCATGGACAGGGGATTGAGCACCCCGACTTAAACTATAC